TGTTAGAGACCTGTCAAGGGATGTGATTTTTAATCTAGAGTAACAACTAATTTGGCTGTTGGGAAGAGAATCATGCAATAGAATGTTATGCAGAAAAATATGTTGGTAGGACAAGGCTATGTACTGTATGTTTGTGCAAATAGAAGTCAGTGATTTATGTTTACTATAGGCTAATGAGGCAATAAAAATGTGATGTCACTAAAATATGACTAAAAGAAAGGGCATTAAGCTAGTTGACTAAAATGGCCCACTGTTTTTGTCATTTTGACAATAACTAGACTGAATCATTATTCAAATGACAAAAATGTGACTTAATTATATTTTAGTCAAAATGAGTAAGACTAGACTAAATCAAAAATTTTTTTGCCAAAATTAACACTGGTGTGTGTTGGATCAGCTAATAGTGCATGCACACTCCAATTGGTAGAAAGTATGTCACATGTTTTCTCCTCATCTCTGTCTGAAAGAATGGAGGAAGTTTAACTCCAGCTGGTACTACATCTCCAACGAGTATAAAACTGGGGAAGACAGCAGACAGGACTGTCTGAAGAGAGGAACGGACCTGGCAGTCATAAACAGCAAAGAGGAACGAGAGAGAGAGAGAGAGAGAGAGAGAAGAGGAGCGAGATAGAGAGAGCGAGAGAGCTCGAGCGAGCGAGCGATAGACGATAGCGCGAGAGAGATATATAGAGAGCGAGCGAGAGAGATGAGATAGATCTATCGAGGCTTCCTCGCTCTCTCCTCTCTCTCTCTCTCTCTCCTCGCGCTAGCGTCCGCTCTATCGTGCTCCTCGAGCAGAGAGAGAGAGAGAGATTGCCTGCCTGCCTGTTGTCAGTTCAGACTTTCAAGATTCAAACCAATGATTCTCAGGCATTGATTCTCACTGCATTCAGTGAAGTTTTATCATGACGTAACTGTTGCTTTCTTTCTTCCAAGGTGTTTATCAGTCAACTGAACACCAAGCCCTGGATTGGTCTGACTGACAAGGATTCTGAGGGGACCTGGAAATGGGTGGACGGAACCCCACTGACCACAGCGTAAGAGATAGTAACCTTTTCTCATAACATCATTAAAAAAATAAAAGTTGTACAATCGCTTGACCAGACTCCGGCACAGTCAAAGTCTTTTTGGCACAGTCAAAGTCTTTTTAACACATGATTTGGGATGAGTTGAAATGTAATCATTGTATGGTTTGTAGGTTCTGGTTTACTGAAGAGCCTAATGATGGAGCTGTGAATGGAGAGGACTGTGTCAGCCTTTATTACCATACCGAGTCTGTGCTGAAGAACTGGAATGACCTAGCATGTAACACAGAGTTGATGTGGATCTGTGAGATTGTAAATGGCTCATCCACACACATTCTGTAAATACACACATGCAGGGAGACACACACACACATACACTACACACACATACACTCACTCACACGCACAGCTTTGTTTTCGTGAATTATCAGGACTTTCTAGGAAGTAAAAATGTATATACACCCTTAGAGATAGCGTTTTACAATACATGTATTCTTATTTGTTGTTTTTAATACATTAATTACAAATGTGATTTGGCATTTTAAGTATTTGCTTTACTGTTATTAGCCATTACTGGATTACAGTTTTCTTTATCGCTGTGGTACTATTTTTACAAGTATGTGGTACATTTTCATAACTCTTAGTACAAAACTCCAAACTGGTCACACTTGTAAAGCAGCCAGTCTTTCATTCAAAACCTGTCATTGTTCATTCAAAACATTATTTAGATAAGTATTCAGACCCTTTGCTATGAGACTCGAAATTGAGCTCAGGTGCCTCCTGTTTCTATTGATCATCCTTGAGATGTTTCTACAGCTTGATTGGAGTCCACCTGTGGTAAATTCAATTGATTGGACATGATTTGGAAAGGCACACACCTGTCTATATAAGGTCCTATAGTTGACAGTGCATGTCAGACCAAAAACCAAGCCATTAGGTCGAAAGGAATTGTCCATAGAGCTCCAAGACAGGATTGTGTTGAGGTACCAAAAAATGTCTGCAGCATTGAAGGTCCCCAAGAACACAGTGGCCTCCATCATTCTTAAATGGAAGAAGTTTGGAACCACCAAGACTCTTCCCAGAGCTGGCCGCTCAGCCAAACTGAGCAGTCCGGGGAGAAGGGCCTTGGTCAGGGAGGTGACCAAGAATCCGATGGTCACTCTGACAGAGCTCTAAACTTCCTCTGTGAAGATGGGAGAACCTTCCAGAAGGACAACCATCTCTGCAGCACTCCACCAATCAGGCCTTTATAGAGTGGCCAGACGGAAGCCACTCCTCAGTAAAAGACACATGACAGCCCACTTGGAGTTTGCCAAAAGGCACCTAAAGGACTCGCAGACCATGAGAAACAAGATTCTCTGGTTTGATGAAACCAAGATTGAACTCTTTGGCCTGAATGCCAAGCATCACATCTGGAGGAAACCAGGCACCATCCCTACGGTGAAGCATGGTGGTGGCAGCATCATGCTGTGGGGATGTTTTTCAACGGCAGGGACTGGGAGACTCGTCAGGATCGAGGGAAAGATGAATGATTGTAGTGGATTCTTCATTGATCACACCTTTTTCTCCCCAATTGGTAGTTACAGTCTTGTCCCATTGCTGCAACTCCCGTACGGTTGAGACATGCGTCCTCTGAAACACGACCCGCCAAGCCGCACTGCTTCTTGACACACTGCTCACTTAACCCGGAAGCACCAATGTGTTGGAGGAAACACTGTACAGCTGGTGACCGAAGTCAGCAGCCACCACAAGGAGTTGTTAGTGCGCGATGGGACAAGGACATCCCAGCTGGCCAAACCCTCCCCTGACCCGGACAATGCTGAGCCAATTGTGTGCCGCCGCATGGGTCTCCCGGTCAGCTGCGACACAGCCCGGTATTGAACCCAGATCTGTAGTGACACCTCTAGCACTGCGATGCAGTGCCTTAGACCGCTGCGCCACTCGGGAGGCCTGCCATTGATCACACCTTTGATTACACATTGGATAGGTATTATGGAAATTATACATTTTCTTTCAATTTTGTTGGGTAATGTAAGTGTATTGCCTAACGTGAAAACGGTGTAATCTATTGTAATTTACAGTACTGTAGCATATTACTTTCAGCACTTGTAAGGGCGATTTGGAACACATATCTTGCATTGCTTGCTATTGGATTAACTGGTAGTTAAAACGACTTAATTGAAAATATATTATGTTGTGTTTTGGTGATTAAACCAATGTTCTCATTACATTTCACAACACATTTATAATTTGAATCAATGGTTGTGTGGTGAGAGATGTTTACAATCCAAATGAATGCACAATGGCAGGTTTTGACTGAAAGACTTGCTGCGTTATAAGTGTGACCAGTTTGGAGTTTTGTACTAAGAGTTGTGAAAATGTACCACATACTTGTGAAAATAGTACCACAGCGATTTAGAAAAAACTGTAACCGCTGTACCCACTACACCACATCCCCTTCTGCTACCCCTGCTCTCTCTCAGACCACTTCTGTTCCACACCAAGCCTTTTTAAACAGATGGGCATTCAGGCAGATGGGTAAAGGCATCCAAACATTACAATTGTTGGGTGTAGATATATTTATCCCATAATATGCAATTCTGCTGGCCAAGCAGATCTATGAGTGTATTACTAGAAGTTAAAGGGCACAGGTGAGTATTGTTGTACATCAGTCAGATGAGATCTAATGAGAGAGATGGTTGGGGTGGGGTCTGAAGGACAAGCCACACTGAGCTCTCTACTGCTGCTGCCACTAATGAGGATAATTACCAAAGTAATGACATTACCGTATCTGAGGGAATGGAGTGTGTGTGTGTGGTCGTGTTTGTGTGTGTGTGTGCACGTGTGTGTCACAAGTTTTTTCCTGCTTTGAATTACAGTAAATTGAAAACTATCTTTCTCCATGTATATCTCGCTCTCTCTCTCGCTCTTTCTCTGTTTTTCTTTCTTGCTCTCATTTTGTCACTCATCCTCTGCATCTCAATCTGTCTTTGTTAGCCCATAATAATTGTATTTGTGACTCATATCCGTTATATCAGATTCTAGTTTGTACAAGGTAATTAACAGAGGACGGGAAGCCTCCACACCATGACATCATCATTTAGCATGCCAAATGAAAGGAACTTTTCGTTTCAGTTGGTCCCTTCAGAGATGATGAGAGTGTTAATAAAGGTTGGGAGAATGGAGGAGGTAATGGGAAGACAAAGAGAGGGAGGAATACATGTGTGAGAAATAGAGGGGAAGAGAGAGAGAAAGGAAGGAAGGAGAGATGGAGGGAAAGAGAGAGAGTTAAGATTGGAGTGTTTCCCCACAGGTTTCTAATCTCTAATCAGCATTGACTAACACAGACTGCTGTGAAAAGTTCTCAGTGCTAATGCAGGCTGCCATTCATATGGAGCCTCTGTATCCAGCATGGACCAATGGATGAGCTGAAGAGAGGAGAGGATTAACAAGCACTCGGGCAGGGAGAGGCACACACACACATACACACACAGACAATCCCTCTGGATGGTCACATATTTCAGTCTTTCAGATAGACTCTCTCTCTCTCTCGCTCGCTCTCTTTTTCTCTCTCTATGGGAAGGGACCAGTGATTGCTTTTGGACCATTCAAGTATTTACAGACTCCCAGTGGGCATTGCACCCTCTGCTGCTGTGATTTGGAACAACATGCAGAGTGCAAGCAAATTGAAAATGTTGCAATTCAACGGTATGTTGCAAATAATGACATAAAAAAATAGTTTTTTATTCTCTTTGTGCCATGATACGTTGTGCGCTAGTATGATGCACTTAAATAGAAACGAGTCTATTGATATGTGCTATTCTACTAAGTAGGATCATATTTTGTTAAAAAACGTTGTGCTCTTGACTACATGATCCTCCTAACACCTCCCCTTTGGTAAGTTTGTTAAATTTTTCTGTAAGTTAAACAATGTTGTTGTTGTTGTTGTTGTTATATAGACCCACAGCTCACCAGTTAGTCTCCAGACTCTGGCTGCCTGTCATCGCTGCCTTCCTCAGTATCGTTATAGTAATACTCCTCATCCTCCTCTACATCCAGACGGCCTTTCAGAACCCTCAACTCTGATGGAGAGACAAATCCAAAAATGTAAAAGGCCAGTGTTTCACTGGAAAAACCTAGTTTCTTAAATACTGAGTCCATTATCCGGATTGGGCGGCAGGTAGGTTAGTGGTTAAGAGCGTTGTGCCCGTGCCCGTAACCGAAAGGTTGCTGGTTCTAATCCCTGAGCCGACTAGGTGAAAAATCTGTCGGTGTGCCCTTGAGCAAGGCACTTAACCCTAATTGCTCCTGTAAGTCGCTCTGGATAAGAGCGTCTGCAAATGACTTCGAATTTTAAAATATATATATATATGGTTAGTATCTGCAGCTCTGACTCACCCTGTCTGAGCACTGTAAGATGGGCGGACACAGATGTCTCCCCCAGGGCATTGTGGGAGATGCAGGAGTAGATCCCTGCGTCTGAGCGGTGGAGATTCTGTATCTGCAGCCAGGTAGAGACTGTGTACCTCTGGGGACCGCCTGGGAGGAGGAGAGGGAGGGTGGAGTCTGGGTACAGTATATGTAGGACCAGACACTGGCCACATAAATACATCAGCAGTCACACTCAAGTCAAACATCAATAAGGGAATGTAAAGTTGAGTAAACATATACACAAATAAATGGTGAAGGGATACAGTGGTGATATCATCAGACCTGAACAGAGATGTGTGGATCGTCCCCTGGCAGGAAGTTGTCACTGCCCTTCTTCCTCCAGCTCAGGTTGGGCAGAGGAAAGGCAGAGGCCAAACACAATGTTGTTCCCAGTGTAGTTGGACAGGTCTCTGGGGGCTCTGGAGATACGAGGGGCTGAGTGAGAGAGGAACACCATATAGACATGTAAGCTTTCATTCTGGCTGTTTTGACAGAACATATTCACATGGCTTTTCAGAAATGTAATAATGTAGTGAATCTAAAAATATGATCTATAGTTAAGCGCTAAGTTAAAAGACCTATAAACCAATCTCTCTACTGTATTCATAGTCCAATAGCTTTTACCTGACATGCTATAATAAGAATTGATTATAGTCACCAGAGTAGCATGGTCCCTGTCCAGTGAGCCTCAGAGTGGTCCCTTTCTGGCTGGCTGCCCCTCTCAGCTGACACAGGTTGGGGTAGGTACATCCATCAGAGCCACACACGGAGCCATGTGCCTCACACACACACTTAGGTTCTGGTTCTCCCCTCCCAAAGCCCCTCCCCCTCTGTCCTCTCCTGGTTCTCCTCTGGCAGACCAACCCCTCTCCACAGCGCCCATAGAACTCCTGCGCCCCATCCGGGTCACACTGCTGCCCCTCCACGTTGCCACAATGCTCACAGCAACAGCAGCTGTCCTGCACTCGCCCTGCTGGGCAATTAGAGTGCGCCAGAGGGCAGTGCTCCCTCTCACACTCCCCACAGCCCTCGCCCTCCTCCCATAGACGCAGCCAGCCACGGTGCTGGAGGGGCACCCCAAGGATCGGACGAACACACACAACCACACCCCAGCCCAGGCCATAGCACCTGCGTCCCACAACAAACACACACACACAAATGCTCTCTGAGTCAAACACAGAGAGAGCAATTTCTTATTAGAAACTTACAGAGAGAGGAGACACTGTAGAACACCAAAGTATATCCAGCACCAAACTGCAGAAGGGTTGTTTCTGTAGAGTCCAAACCCCTGACTCAGTCCAAAGCTAGAGAAAGTTGATCCGGCTGTTATTCTGTGAAAGCCTGTGGTTCATGTGTTATTCTACTCTGAGCTGAAATAATAATGTTCCCTTCGGTATTCAGTGCCACGCTTGGGTTGGGCCTCCTGGATTGTTGGATTTCTATTTCTGTTTATCTGTGCTTGTTCCAAAAGTATTTTGTTCACCTTTCTCAAATATTTCCCCTCAGTTAGTGTTTCCCCAGTTTTAGAGAAATCAATTCAAGGTGTGAGGAAATTGTACCCCCCAAATACTTCTCTCTTCTTTTACATTTCAGTCATTTAGCAGATGCTCTTATCCAGAGCAACTTACAGTTAGTGAGTGCATACATTTTTTCATACTGGCCCCCCGTGGGAATCGAACCCACAACCCTGGCGTTGCAAGCGCCATGCTCTACCAACTGAGCTACAACCGCCTTTCTTCACGTGCCAGTGTTTCTCGGCAAGGCAGGACTGGCGCAAGGGTTTCAAAAATCGCACAACATATAAAAGAATGCTACTCAATGTTTTATTTCATATAGGCATTGATGTGGGGATACCTCCACTCCTTTATATCTGTCAACTTCACAGACAATAAGGACCTTACAGATGACACACTGAAACATGCATCTACAATAATATGGCATGTAAATTTAGATTTTATTATGAAATCCTTTCAGTTGTATCATCCCTCTCTCTCACTTTGTCTCAGAGCCACACTCTCTAGTGGGGCAGTGTGACATTGCTGGGTCTGGTAACACTTTGTGTCCGTCAGTGAATATGTCTGCATTTTGGGAATACACGTGAAAGAATGTTATTTAATACCAGTTGTACTGTGCAATTTTGAAACACATGTTTTTTATTCTTATTTGGTAAAGAAATTGTTTTAGGCCTACAAACAAAGAGACATTGTTCTGTCTTGAGGGTTCGTGTTTCATTAGCGAGGACCCACTGGGCTCAGATGTCAATTCAATGTCTATTCCACGTTGGTTCAATGTAATTTCATGGAAATTACGTGGAAATAACATTGATTCTATCAGTGTGTGCCCAGTGGGGAGATCATCAACAAGCTTATAAATGTACTGTGGTGTGTGTGTGTGCGTGCGTGCGTGCGTGCGTGTGTGTGTGCGTGTGTGTGTGTGTGTGTGTGTGCGTGTGTATGAGAAAGAGAGAGAGAGACTTCCACAAAGCTGTGAACGATCTGAGTGACAAGGCAAGAAGGGCCTTCTATGCCATCAAAAGGAACATAAAATGTGACATACCAAAAAATACTTGAATCAGTTATAGAACCCATGGCTCTTTATGGTTGTGAGGTCTGGGATCCGCTCACCAACCAAGAATTCACAAAATGGGACAAACACCAAATTGAGACTCTGCATGCAGAATTCTGCAAAGATATCCTCAGTGTACAACGTAAAACACCAAATAATGCATGCAGAGCAGAATAAGGCCGATACCCGCTAATTATAAAAATCCAGTGAAGAGCTGTTAAATTCTACAACCACCTAAAAGGAAGTGATCACCTACAGAGAGATGCACCTGGAGAAGAGTCCCCTAAGCAAGCTGGTCCTGGGGCTCTGTTCACAAACCCAAACAGACCCCACAGAGCCCCAGGACAGCAACACAATTAGACCCCACCAAATCATGAGAAAACAGAAATATAATTACTTGACACATAGGAAAGAATTGACAAAAAAACTGACCAAACTAGAATGCTATTTGGCCCTAAATAGAGAGTACACAGTGGCGGAATACCTGACACTTTGACTGACTCAAAATTAAGGAAAGCTTTGACTATGTACAGACTCAGTGAGCATAGCCTTGTTATTGAGAAAGGCCGCCGTAGGCAGACCTGGCTCTCAAGAGAAGACAGGCTATGTGCACACTGCCCACAAAATGAGGTGGAGACTGAGCTGCACTTCCTAATCTCCTGCCAAGTGTATTACCATATTAGAGACACATATTTCCCTCAGATTACACAGACCCACGAAGAATTTGAAAACAAATCCAATTTTGATAAACTCCCATATCTATTGGGTGAAATACCACAGTGTGCCATCACAGCAGCAAGATGTGTGACCTGTTGCCACAAGAAACCAGTGAAGAACACCATTGTAAATACAACCCATATTTATGTTTATTTATTTTCCCTTTTGTACTTTAACTATTTGCACATTGTTACAACACTGTATATAGACATAATATGACATTTGAAATGTCTCTATTCTTTTGGAACTTTATGAGTATATTGTTTACTGTTCATTTTTATTGTACTTTTGTTTATTATCTATTTCACTTGCTTTGGCAATGTAAATATATGTTTCCCATGCCAATAAAGCCCTTTAATTGAAAGAGAGTTAACTTTTTTGACAAAGTTCCCATGTCTTGAATGTGGGCATAGATAGGTACATTTACATTTTAGTCAATTAGCAGACACTCTTATCCAGAGCAACTTACAGTTAGTGAGTGCATACATTTTTCATACTGGCCCCCCGTGGGAATCGAACCCACAACCCTTGCGTTGCAAGCGCCATGCTCTACCAACTGAGCTACAGGAGGTACATCTGGCCAGTGGCCAGTAGTGCCCCAAGCTCTCTGCCATCACAATCACTGTACTGTCTGAATAGTCAAAGGCGTGGTTTCCATCGAGTGATTTCTGACGTCGGAGCATGTGAGGCTTCCTTGTTTGACGCCGTCCACGTATCAGTGCCAGGAAGTTAGCGTAAGTGGTCTGTAGATTTTCCATCTGAACCGGGTGACGTTACAAAAATAAAAGTCCTCTCTGATAAATAGAAAATAGACTGTATTTCTGTAAGTCAAATATGATAAAACTGATAATACAATTATACAATTTTTATTATCCACGAATAGAAAGCTCTACTGCAGGAATATCTGCTTAAAAGGTCAGGAGGAGGCACAAAATAGTGGATATTATTCATTGCTCAAAACATGGCTTTTAATTTGAGAAGAAAAATAAACTGACATACGCTACCGGATGTAGTATCTGATTGTTCTGACTTAACACAGCTCCACGTCTCTCTCTGAACAGGAAGCAAGAAATATGTCCAAACAGGACAGGGAGAGACGTCCCTTGTTTGAGGTGGTAGCTTCGTTCTCTTAGCAGTCCTTTACATACTCCTATACTCTTCGGACGTCTTCCTTCCCGCGAAGACAATTCCTTTGGTGTAAAGGACGTACAAGTAAGTCTTTTTATTAATGTATGATTTTCTGGGTGAATGACAGTGGTAGGATTTATCCAGTGATGACAGCTTAGCAAGAACTCAAATCAGAAGAGTTGAATGAATGTCTAGCTAACGTTACCATATCATTAAGGTTCTTGTTTACTGCCGCTATAAGCTGTATAATGGACTTCAGACAAGCATGACATAGCCGTCCAATGACATTTTATAACTGACTGATTATGCTGATGTGTCTCCTTGATGTCAGGAAATGCACAAAAAAAAGGTTATGCCAGTCATATTCAGATAATGTCATTTAGTTCAATGCAACTACAGTATAATGTGGTATTAGGGACACTGGCCGTGTTCGAGAGGATCAAAACCATAATGTATCATGGGTAAATTCTGACTGATTGACTGACTGACTGATCTACAAATAATAATGAGTAGTTATTTATGATGTAAGGTTATAAATAGGTTTGTAGATCAGTCAGTCACAATTTACCCATGATACATTACGGTTTTGATCCTCTCGAACACAGCCTCTCTCTTTACTGCACCAATGTTATCTTTTCATCCTCTACATCCTGGTCGTACAGGTGTACTGAATGGTGACGTGGGACTGGGTGGGGTGGGGCACTGAAATTGAATAGTCAAACGGCATACCTCTTAAAAAATGTCTAGCTTGACAAGCCCTCCAGGTTTTATGGGTGGCTCTCTTAGACAAAAGGTAACCTGGGCTGTTCCTGAAATACTATGACAGTCTCTCATGAAAGTCAAATAAAATCAAAGTTTGTTGGTTGTGTACACAGTTTATCAGGTGTTATAGCAGGTGCAATGCTTTTGTTACTATCCTGAACAAAAATATAAATGCAACAATTTCAAAGGAATTTCATATAAGGAAATCAGTCAATTGAAATAAATAAATTAGGCCCTAATCTATGGATTTCACATGACTGGGAAGGGGTTCAACCATGGGTGGGCCTTGGAGGGCATAGGCCCACCCACTTGGCAGCCAGGCCAGGCCCAGCCAATCATAATGAGTTTTTCCCCATGAAAGGGCTTTATTACAGACAGAAATACTCCTCATCACCCGCCCCCCACCCCCCCTCAGATGATCCCAAAGGTGAAGAAGCCGGATGTGGAGGTCCTGGGCTGGTGTGGTTACACGTGGTCTGCGGTTGTGAGGCCAGTTGGACGTACTGCCAAATTCTCTAAAATGACGTTGGAGGCATCTTATGGTAGAGAAATGAACATTCAATTCTCTGGCAACAGCTCTGGTGGACATTTCTGCAGTCAGCATGCCAATTGCATGCTTCCTCAAAACTTGAGACAGCTGTGGCATTGTGTTGTGTGACAAAACTGCACATTTTAAAGTGGCCTTTTATTTTTCCCAGCACAAAGTGCACCTGTGTAATAATTATGCTATTTAATCAGCTTCTTGATATGCCACACCTGTCAGGTGGATAGATTATATTGGCAAAGGAGAAATGCTTTCTAACACAGATGTAAACTAATTTTTGGAAAAAAATTCAGAGAAATAAACTGTTTGTGTGTATGGACAATTTCTGAGATTTTTTATTTCAGCTCATGAAACACTTTACGTTGGGTTTATGTTTTTGTTCAGTGTAGCTCCTAACAATGCAGTAAAATGTCAAACAATTTAAATGTATGGGGGAAAATTACAAGAAATTAAGAATGGTGGGACAAATCTGATTTAACAACCCAAATAGCACTGTAGCAGTTTGTACATTCCTATAATCACACCATGAGTTGTTCATCATAAAACATACTCCTCCGCCTTTGTTTTTCCTGCTAAGCTCTAGTCAGACATTGACCTTTAGGAATTCAATAAGGTAGATCTAAGCACATCTCTAGTATGTTGCCGTGTCCACTAATGGTGTTCTCATGTGTGTTGCTGTTGTGTGATGTGTTCTGTCTTTGTAAGGCAGGCATTCAGGATGGCACAGAAGGTCCTGGTGACTGGGGGAGGAGGCTACATAGGCAGCCACTGTGTGGTGGAACTGATTGAGGCAGGATTCTGCCCTGTGGTCATAGATAACTTCAGCAATGCTGTCCGAGGTAAGTGTCTTTAGTTTGCCCAGCGTAACTTTGAGAGTGATAGTGTCGTAAGACACGTTATCTGTTTGACAGTTACTGTTTGTTTTGGGTAACAACAGTTACAGTAAAGGTGTTTATGTGTGTGTGTGTGTGTGCATGCATGTGTGTTGATCATTGTTCCACATCCTGATGTTTTGTGGAGGAGAAGGAGATGTCCCTGAGAGCCTGCGGAGGATAGAGAAGATCCTGGACACCAGCATTGAGTTCCATGAGCTGGACCTGCTGGACCGCCCAGGCCTGGAGAAGCTTTTCAAACTGGTTAGAAACTACACTCATCCCTGCTGAACAGTGTTCCTATGCATTTGCTTTAACTAGGCCCCAGAGTTTGTCCTCTTTAGGTCATGTGGTCCGGGATAACTCCTGGCCCTATTATGAGTTTTGCTCAAGACATCACTTACCTTTGTCTTTATTAAGTGTTTACTTGTTTGTCTCTGTCTTAATGTCTTAACAGCATTCATTCAGTGCTGTAATGCATTTTGCTGGTCTGAAAGCGGTGGGTGAGTCCGTTGAGCAGCCATTGCGGTACTATCGGGTCAACCTCACTGCAACCATGAACTTGCTTGAGGTAAGTTAGAACACCTCAATCTCAGCTTGCCTTGCATTATTTGAAGTTTCCTATTCTGTAATGGCTGCTTTCCTAGAACTGCTACCTAAGTGCATGGATGCCTGTGTGTATTGATTTGATAACTTTGTAGCACTGTTCTTGTCTTTTACTTCATGACTAGCTAATAATGTTTACGTGTTGCTTGCAATAATCTCAACCAACCTTGTGATGTTAGTCTGTATGCCTAAGTGTGTGTGCTTTAGATTGCTGTCTCAACGGCTGCTGTCCGTGTGTGTGTCGTGTGTGTGTGTGTGCATCTGCATGTCTCCAAGGTGATGCAGACTCACGGCGTGCGCAATCTGGTCTTCAGCAGCTCAGCCACGGTGTATGGAGACCCCCAGCGGCTTCCCATAGATGAACAGCACCCTGTTGGGGGGTGCACCAACCCCTACGGCAAGACCAAGTACTTCATAGAGGAGATGATTATGGACCAGTGTAAGGCAGAGAAGGTACTGTACCTACCTACCCCAGGCTCTCTATTCATCATCACACACCCTGACCATCTGTCACATACATCCCATGCATGATAGATGTCCTGAATAACAGTTTATATAACAATGTGTATAATGATAATAATGCCCATACTACTGCATGTATTCCCAGGACTGGAACGCAGTGCTGCTGCGGTATTTCAACCCCATCGGGGCTCACTCCTCTGGGCTCATCGGAGAAGACCCTCAGGGCATCCCCAACAACCTGCTGCCCTATGTCGCCCAGGTAACCACAAATAATGTTTATCCACCTTGAATGATGTGGTATCCCACTTAGTTATTCCTTTTCTAATTTCTGTTATTTTCACCGGAATGTAGTTTTGTACACTGAACAAAAATATAAACGCAACATGTAAAGTGTTGGTCCCATGTTTCATGAGCTGAAATAAAAAATCCCAGAAATGTTCCATACGCACAAAATGCTTATTTCTCTCAAATGTTGTGCACAAATTTGTTTACGTCCCTGTTAGTTAGCATTTCTCCTTTGCCAAGATAATCCATCCACCTGACAGGTGTGGCATATCAAGAATCTGACTAAACAGCATGACTATTACACAGGTGCACCTTGTGCTGGGGACAATAAAGGGCCACTCTAAAATGTGCAGTTTTGTCACACAACGCAATGCCACAGATGTCTCTGTTTTGAGGGAGCGTGCAATTGTCATGCTGACTGCAGGAATGTGCACCAGAGCTGTTGCCAGATAATTGAATGTTCATTTCTCTACCATAAGCCACCTCCAACATCGTTTTAGAGAATTTGGCAGTACATCCAACCGGCCTCACAACCGCAGACCACGCGTATGGCGTCGTGTTGGCGAGCGATTTGCTGATGTCAACGTTGTGAACAGAGTGCCCCATGGTGGGGTTATGGAATGGGCAGACATAAGCTACGGACAACGAACACAATTGCATTTTATCAATGGCAATTTGAATGCACAGAAATACCGTGACGAGATCCTGAGGCCCATTGTGAGGCCCATTTCTTTTAAGGTATCGGTGACCAACAGATGCATATCTGTATTCCCAGTCGTGAAATCCATAGATTAGGGCCTAATGAATTTATGTCAATTGAATGATTTCCTCATATGAACTGTAACTCAGTAAAATCTTTGAAATTGTTGCATGTTGCGTTTTATATTTTTGTTCAGTATAATTGACTTAACTTTAGGTGCTGTGGCTCTCTCTTCTCTAACCCAGGTTGCCATTGGGAGAAGAAAACACCTCAATGTGTTTGGGAATGACTACGACACTATTGATGGAACAGGTAATGATGACTGACTTTATGCTTAAAGAAAAAAAGAGGGTTGATTGACATTGATTGAAAACAGCACTGAATAGAATTCAATTAATCATAACCTTGTCTGATGGTAAGTGTCAAATCATATTTTTTTACAGAAATGCATCCAATTGTGAATAATCCTTCTTCTCTTTAGGGGTGCGAGATTACATCCATGTTGTGGATTTGGCCAAAGGACACATAGCTGCCCTCAAGAAACTGAAGGACAATTGTGGATGCAAAGTACAGGCTGGCTTACCTGACCCTACTGTTACATGTTTCATGTCTTCTGTCTTTCCTCATTCATTCATAATTGCTCTTGTCTCATCCATTGCCTTATAGAAACGTGACATTTTCCCCTTCTCTCTCTCCCTCTCTCTCTAGGTGTATAATTTAGGAACAGGAACTGGTTACTCTGTGCTCCAGATGGTAAAGGCTATGGAGAAGGCCTCAGGGAGAGAGGTGAGTGACTTGACCCTCTTTTAAAAACTTCAGAGCCTTCATCCATCAGTATTCCTGTATTTTATATTTATTACCTCTTAATTACAGGGAATGGAATCATTTTTAGATCTTCATGTGTAGAAAGCAGCTACCTCAAGCAATACCTGTCTGACCGCTAATTCCAGACCAAACCATTTCACATGGGGGTGGTTGTACTGTTATGATTGTCTTTGCCACAGATCATGTACCTGATTGCCCCCCGACGAGGAGGAGATGTAGCGTCCTGCTATGCTGACCCCCGTCTGGCTGAGAAAGAGCTGGGCTGGAAAGCTGACTTCGACCTGGAGAGAATGTGTAAGCACACCTTAATTGAACTACCTACCACTTACTGTAACTGTTACTCTGGGTTTATGCATCATTTGTCAACACACCACGACAGCTCCAGTCCTCAGCACAATGCACAATCCTGATTCCATAGAACAAATATTTATTCTCATAATATATAAGCCTAGCGGTTTAGAGCATTGGGTCAGTAACCGAAAGGTTGCTGGTTCGAATCCCCGAGCCGACTAGGTGAAAAACTGTCAATGTGCCCTTGAGCAGGGCATTAAACCCTAATTGCTCCTGTAAGTCGCTTTGGATAAGATAAATTGTCTTCTGCTAAATGACTAAAATGTAATAATGTCATGCCTTTGGTTATGTCTTCCAAGGTAAGGACCTGTGGCACTGGCAGTCCAAAAACCCAACTGGATTCACCAATAACGGCCCGTCTTCATGAGATATCACTCAATGCTCATCTCATTGAGTCTCTTCTTCACTTCCTCCTAAGTTACTGGGCCAAAGCAAATCATAAAGTTCCAAATTTTTCTACCACATTCACCATTCACACATGAAGAGACCTTGACGAAATGAATGATTTATATTTCATAATGATTTAATATTATGTTGATTCCATACAGCTACTTTCACTAAGGCTATTCTCTAAATACCATGTCTTATCTCTGTTTGTCTTGTCATTTATATGTATTGGGGGGGAAGAGTGCTGAGGAGTATTTTTCTTGATAATACAGGAGTAATAAAGGCCTACTTCACTAATTTTGTTGATACATTTTTATTTATGTTATTTGTATTTATTATAATTTGTTTTAAATTTAGATTTATCAGGGGCGCTGCAGCACCCTCAGCACCCCTACTTCCTGCAGCTATGGGGGAGGCTATGTTTTTGTTTCAAACAAAAATGAGGAGGATTGGGTATTTTAGGAATGTTACTATTTCAATACTTTCCCATTTCAAGCCCGAAAAAGGTGAGTATATCCTCTAAAAGGGGCACTTGTACTTTAAGTGGCTCCTTGGCCCTCGGGCGCTCAGTTAAACACCCACGTCAGCACTGCCGTTTTTTCTCGGTCTATAAACGGGTTTCGGTCTTTAGGGCTGAGCAGGAAGTGGAGCGAATGTGTACCCCGAACCAGTAAAAGAAGGAGTAAAATTGCCAAAAAAAAAATGGCAATGGTGACAGAGATGGGGGCGAATATAGCATATCGGGCAACGGGCGAACCAAGTCACCTGTGAGTATCGATACCTTTGTCGTGGGTAGAGCATTGGCAGAAGCAGGGAGCGCGGGTAAGCAGTCTAACCTATAGGGCGTAAGCGGGTCCTGCGGACATCGTTCGCCTGAGGAAAGGCACTGGGTTCCGCAGAACGGAAATTATATCCTCGCTGCTCATAGCCTACTGAGCTCTGGAGTTTGGGCATGAAAGGGGTGATCAGTGGATCCAAAATCGGGTGTGAAGGTGATGCGGTCCATTGGCACCCGGGATATAACTATGATTCGTATTTGTTTGTGTTTGATCGATTGAAGTCTACATTAATATATCCGTTTTACTGCAATTCCATTGTGCGGGAGCTGTAAGTGGGCGTCTCTCCTGCGCTCGCGCACAGGCACCAGCAGCTACCCGATTTTATTTCGATGCGCTGTAGTAGCCTATCATTGTTCACAGTCATTTTAAGATATGGATGCGTAGACGCTATTGAATTAAATGGTATATCGATTTATATATTTTTGGGGGAATTAGTTCGTTGTTTGATTTATAGGGTATCCACTCCAACCGGGCGTTAAGTGGGCGCAGTGCTGCATGCAGCTCTTCGTGTATTCCATTGACTTGTTCCGAAATGCTGATATTTTTTAAAAAACGTTATCAGCTAATTAGATATAAATAACTAGGGATAAATAAATGTCTAAACAAGAACATTTTGAAATGGTTTGATTTAAACAACCAAAACCTCCAATACATGCACAAAGCAAATATTCCCTCTCTGTGTATGAGAGAAGCACACATTCATCTAATCTTTCATTGCTGTCATTTTCTATTTGTGAAGAGTTTTCTGGTGAGCGTTCATATTCTCCTATGGGATGATTGCAGGGTTTTGTTACCCGGTTGTGTCAGTAAATCGGGTGTAGCCCCTCAGATGAAGGCACTTGATTGACGGCTGAGGCAACCACTCACAGTGCAGGTTGGGGACTAGTAGTAGTCCCGTGTAGCTCAGTTGGTAGAGCATGGCGTTTGCAACGCCAGGGTTGTGGGTTCGTTTCCCACGGGGGACCAGTATGAAAAAAAACAAATTGGAAAAAAATGTATGCACTCACTAACTGTAAGTCGCTCAGGATAAGAGCGTCTGCTAAATGACTAAAATGTAAAATGTAGTAGGCTGACTCTCTGAAGAGTTGGAACAATGACGTATATAAACCCTGGATTGACGATTCTATGTATTTTGAGAGGCTTTGAAGCCACGGGTCGGCCATATTGGCACTCCCTAGTTGGCGTAGTCCTCCATAGGAATACATTGAATTCTACAGTATTTCAATTTAATGTTCCAAAGACTTAAATACATGTAATTTTGTTCATCTTTTTTTGCTGTAGTGGGGACAGTAACATTAGTAATCTAAAAAATATAATACTTAAAGGAAGTTTTTTAAATATCGTATGAAATAGTTTTATTTGTATGTTTAGCTCACACAATATAGTTTAAAAGTATGGATTAAGGTGTCTGTAATAGAATACATGTTGCAAAAATGAATGTAGACATTAATAAATGCATTTCTATAGCTTCCAAATATTTTCTACAACGTGGGGGAGTGCCAGTGGGGGAGTGCCAAGATGGAGGCACGGTGGTTTTAACACAGCGCCCCCTATTAGTCATCTAGTGTATATATAAATTATTGAGTTGAATTGGCTCCACCTAGAAAACAAAAGGTAGTCAGTCGATGGTTACACAACAGGATGAGAATTGCACATTTTCGGGTGTATAATTATTTTCATAAATAATTCATTGAATTCACTTTCATTTCAGTTGATCTTGGTGGTGTGAATTCATGTTTGTATGTTGAATGATTTACAATCTAGATCATGTGATCAGTCTCAACAATTTCCCTCTTGTTATAATTTTTGTGTGACATTATATTCACCTGTCACATATGTCTGTTGTGTGTTGCAGACAGGCCCAGCGGTGGTACCATACAGACATCACAGCCAACCACCAGAGCTATCTGCTGAAGCAGTTGGATGATCAGAGGCGTCAGGAGCTGTTCTGTGACTGCAACGTTCTGGTGGAGGGCCAGCTTTTCAAGGCCCACCGCAATGTCCTTTTCGGCAGCAGTGGCTACTTCCGTATGCTGCTCTCCCATGGGGCCGATGACAATGCCGAACCGGTCAGCACCTCCTTCGAGGTCTTTAGCCCTGACACATTCACCGTCATCCTGGACTTCATCTACTCTGGACAGCTGGACCTGTCCAGCCACAATGTGATCGAGGTGATGTCTGCTGCCAGCTACCTGCAGATGAACAACGTCATCAGCTACTGCAAGGACTTCATCAAGTCCTCCCTGGAGATCAGTGCCAAAGAGGATGACGTCCGCTACCTCAGCTTGTCTGAGAATAGCTACCCCCAGGGGGGTAGGGAGGACAACGCCATAGACCACCAAGCAGCCGGCTCCATCAGCCCTCCCTCTGCCCTCTGGACCCATGACAGCTCCAGGCCCCAGTCCTCCAGGTACCTGGTGAAGGAGTCAGACCTGGATGCTGCAGTCCTGAAGCAGGATCTCAGCTCCCCTCAGCCCAGCCAGCAGCACAGCCCTGAGGTGGAGGTGCTGCCGAATGCAGAGGAGCCCCAGTTTGCCCGGCCTCGTGCGGAGCGCAGACGGAGAGGGGCTGGCAAGAGGAAACCCTACTGCATGCGCTCCTCAACAGATGAGGCCCTGGCCATCCAAGAGGCCCGGTCACAAACAGCACAGAAGGCAGACGAACTGTATGCCACTCTACCTACCATTGTGGGTGTTGTGGGACTCTTCAACAAAGGTGAGTGCGGTGATATTATTATTGACCCTTATTAATTATTAGGTTCTTAGGGTAAACACGGGTTCTAATTAATGTCCCCCCAATCTCCCCTTAGACCCTAACCCCTCCATGCGCTTCAAGTGCCCGTTCTGCACTCACACGGTCAAGAGGAAGGCAGACCTGAAGAGGCACCTGCGCTGTCACACTGGCGAGCGGCCGTATCCCTGCCAGGCCTGCAACAAACGCTTCACCCGCCTGGAGCACCTCCGCAGCCACTTCGAGACAGTGAGTCATCTAGGGCTAAAACATGGTGGGCAGATTTACAGGGGTAGACATTCTATTAGTGTTTTTCCTGTATAATTTCTCAATTTGTTTCCCTGATTGATGCGCTACAGATCCATCAGGCCAGGAAGCTGGTGTGCAGGAAATGTAAGCGGCAGGTGACAGAGCAGAGTGGGCGGGTGGTGTGTGAGGGCTTGCGGCGCTACCGAATGTGTACTGAGTGCATCCAGGAGACGGGCTGTGAGGATCTGCCTATCGATGGCCTGGAGGGGGCTAGCGAGGAGCCTGCCCTGCTGCTGGGGGTGGATGGGGAGGAGGAGGATGGAGACACACAGAGGAGCTGGCTGGTAAACGATGATGACGACCTGGCAGAAGACTCAGGAGCTGACCTCATCATCCAGGAAGTGGAAGACAGCGATGAGGAGCTTCAGTGAAAATATGTGTGTGTGTGTGTGTGTGTGTGTGTGTGTGTGTGTTTGCTTGACTGGGCACTTTTGTGTATGAGTGTCTGCTATATTTCCTCAACATTTATTGTCAGTGATTATATATAAGCATCCACATTTTGAATGACTATTCATTGGAGAAAAAAGCTATGTTGAATAATACATATTTATAACTGTAAATATTAGAATTTGTAATATAATATACTGCTTTTATTCTAAACAAGATATTTTCAAGCTTGTATTTTCAGTTTAATATGAAAATAAAAAGTGTTTGATATTTAATGTACATGTTATAATGTTACCATTTTGTTTGTCAGTTTTCATATTTCTTTGTATCAAGAATATCAACACGTATTTCCAGCCAAATACTCCTCACACCTTTGATGTTAGTGAGAATTTTAAGGGATGTTAAAGGGAAGTCAATAGTGTTTGTATATAAGTTTGCCAATGCCTTTCATGTTAAGTCAACTACAGTGGACAGTGTTTGCACGTTTTTGTGTTGAATTGTTTTACTCTGTTAATTGTTTACTATTAATTGTTTGTTTTTATTTAGAAATGAATTACTACACATTATTTTGACCATGATTATTATTGATGTATCATTCATGTTTATTTATTATATTTTCTACTTATTTTACACACATTAAATTTTATATTTTTAAAATAATTCAAAGTTGACTTTGTTTTATTGATTCATCAGGAAATCAAACTCAAATTGAAATAAATTATCTATGGTGGGGTCTAGGGACATATTGCGGATGTTCTTTGCTCAGAGATGGTTTATAATGTTGTAAACCATTTGAACCAAAGTCATAATAAAGGTTATGAGATAGACTAAAACATTAAAGTTAAAGACGGCTGAACTTCGCTTTCGCATTCCATTTTTCAAAAGAATTTGAGGTGTTTCAAGTCAACTTTACACCTGGTGCAAATGTAGGCTATATCTGGGCTGGTCAGTAGGTGGCGGTAATGCACTACTGTTTTAGTGGCGTAGAGGCTCAGCAGAAGAAATTGTTGTATGCTGAGGCAGTGAAGGATGGCTCAAGGGTGAGAGGATCCCAGTGAGTGGTAGATTTCTGGACCGCAGAAATGGAACGTAAATCACAGAAAATAGATGTTGTGGTGGCAGCTGCAGAGAAGTATTTGGGTATACGAGATTTGACTTCAGAAGAGTTACAACGTGTGTTGTTGAGTGGTGGTGTCCCGTCCTCCCAGGTCGTTGGCATGGTGCAGGAGCAGATAGGGTCAAAGTAGTGGAATGGGATAGTGGGTTTTTAATGAGTGTAGGTGGCAACTGCAGAGAATAACCTGTGTGTACGAGATGTTACTGCAGAATACTTAATGGGGTGGGGATTTGAATTTTGAGGAAATAGTGGTATATAGGTGTAGGGTTAGTTGGTGGTGCAATTTTTTCGTTTTAGGAACAGGAATAATGAAGAGAATTTAATGTAGGTAGACCGTGACTGGCCTCACACTTCAGTACAGTAGGTGGCAGTGTATGCACCTTAAAGTTGGATGCGATCTGCCAACCCAATCCCAAAGAAGAAGAAGACATATACGTCAATGCTAAGGCTGGACGAACATGGCGGCTGTCATGAGATTTGTCAACAGAAGCACCTTTGGTTCTAGAATGGGTCATCAATGTTTATCCTTGAGTTGTTCAGCAGCAGTGGCGAAATCAGTAAGTCAGTGTGTTTCTTTCTTCAACGTCTACCCAGTGCAGTCGCTTGTTTTATATTTTTATTTATTTATTTAATAAAACACAAGTGCCTGTTATTAGCCTAACTTAGCTAGCTAAGGTTACTACAGTACTAGCTAGCTTTTGGTTCTCATTAATGCTAAAGACCGCTTGTGAAATACTCTATTTTGGTATAACGAGCAATGTCATAGCCATAATGTGATATTGTGTGTGTGTGTGTGTGTGTGTGTGTGTGTGTGTGTGTGTGTGTGTGTGTGTGTGTGTGTGTGTGTGTGTGTGTGTGTGTGTGTGTGTGTGTGTGTGTGTGTGTGTGTGTGTCTCTCTCTCTGTGTGTGTGTGTGTGTGTGTGTGTGTCTCTCTGTGTGTGTGTGTGTGTGTGTGTGTGTGTGTGTGTGTGTGTGTGTGTGTGTGTGTGTGTGTGTGTGTGTGTGTGTGTGTGCGTGCGCGCGCGTGTAGTTAGCCATGTGTACTGTCTCACACCTACCTCTGTTGTCGACAGGTTCAGGTTGGTGCATCTGCAGGGAAGGCTCTCCCAGAGAGGGTAAAGATAGTGGAGGTTGGACCCAGGGATGGCCTTCAGAATGAAAAGGTAGTATTCCACTTTTTTGATGCTTTTTTGCTGAGTCCACCTTTGAATTACATATTTTAGGTGGTGCATTGAATTGAGCTGGGTGGGTGTGTCGCTCAAACTCATGAGGAACCAGGAAGTATTTTTACAGTTCTGGGGAACTGTGTCAAAAGCCACCTGTTGCAGATGTTATTGTCATAACTCATGTCTCTCTCCTGCTGTCCCTGTCAGACTCTCGTCCCTGCTGAAATTAAGATTCACCTGATTGACATGCTCTCAGAGGCGGGTCTTCCTGTGATTGAAGCCACAAGCTTTGTCTCTCCAAAATGGGTCCCACAGGTGAGCTTACCAGAGTGTTTCAATAGCTCAACAACATGTCCTCTCACATTGTTTATTCCAGAACATCACTGAATATCGGTCCATGTGATTCCCATAGTATGCTTTACAGATGTTTTATGGATACTGTATTCATTCAATTATGAAAATAGTTGCAATTGCATAGTTTGTGACGTGTCCAGTCCCTCCTGATTGACAGATGGCCGACCAGGTGGAGGTGATGAAGGGGATCAACAGACGGCCTGGTGTGTCCTATCCCGTACTGACCCCCAACCTCAAGGGCTTCCAGGCAGCTGTACGTACCTCTGATTGGCTCCATGCACATGTTACTGTGCTTACTGTGTCACCTCAACATCACATAGACACATAACAGAAACACAGAGATGTTTGAGTAACTCATGTTCTGTGAATTCAATAATTCCTTCAAAGCTAATTATTAAACCATTGTAAGCACTGTGATATTTTTAGACTGTAGGTATTGAGCAAGTATGTTGCTGGTTATTTTCTCAGGTGAAGGCAGGAGCAGCAGAGGTGGCCATATTTGGCGCTGCCTCTGAGCTGTTTAGTAAGAAGAACATCAACTGCTCTGTGGATGAGAGTCTGCAGCGCTTTGAGGAGGTCACCAAAGCAGCCAAAGAGGCCGGTGTGCGAGTCAGAGGGTAAGACTGACAGACAGACATAGGGACGGGCAGAGGAAGAAAATGTGAGCAGTCGTGATTTTCATTGGGAAAGTCTGTGAAATGCTGTAGGGTTGTTTACATTGCTCTAAGATGTCAGGTTGTTTGACTCCAGGGCATCAGTCTCACCTCCTTGATCTGTTCCCTCAGGTATGTGTCATGTGTGCTTGGATGCCCATATGAGGGCCAGGTGTCACCAGACAAAGTGGCTCAGGTGAGTTCCTCTGACTCAGACCAAGCCCAGCATTCTATCACTTGTCACTGAGAAAACTGTCTCTTCATCTTCCCTTAGAAATGTCATTATACTCCAAATATATTTGATTAAGTGTCATAGAGCTTTAAACCTGCTTGAAGATTTCACCTGTTGCTTTCTCTAATGCAGGTAGCCAAGCGTCTGTACTCCATGGGTTGCTATGAGATCTCTCTGGGCGACACCATAGGCGTGGGCACACCGGGCGGCATGACTGAGATGCTGGAGGCAGTGAGAAGGGAGGTGCCTGTTGACGCCCTGGCAGTCCACTGCCATGACACCTATGGTCAGGCTCTGGCCAACATCCTGATCGCCCTGCAGGTACTGTACAGTAAGACCTGAAACTGAGTGCAATATAGAGGACTCCTCTGATTTGGTGTATAAAAGTACTATAATACTACTGGCATACATTTGATGAAGACAGTGTTTGTTTTTGCAGATGGGCATCAGTGTTGTGGACTCGTCAGTGGCTGGCCTGGGTGGGTGTCCATATGCACAAGGGGCCTCTGGGAATGTGGCTACAGAGGATGTGGTGTACATGCTGCATGGACTCGGCATTCAGACGGTGAGAATTCACCTTTTCCCTCTTTCTTTATCAGTCTCCCTCTTTCACTTCCTCCCTCAGTCCAATAGAGTCTGGCAAACTGTTACGAGAAAGTGTTCTACTTCCTGTGTATTAAAAAATGAATTGTCATCAGTGTTCTCTTTTTAAACTGGTCAGTGCACATGTAAGAGTTCCCTGTTTCAGTGTGTGACTGTTGTCCTCCTTCTCCCTCTGTCTCAGGGAGTGGACCTGCCCAAGCTGATGGATGCTGGAGCGTTCATCTGTAGTTCCCTGAACAGAAAGACCAGCTCTAAAGTGGCCCAGGCAACCTGCAAACTCTGAACCTGGCTCCACGAAGGCCTATAAGAAGGATGTCAAGAGTGATACCTACAGACATGGCCAGAAGGCATTACCAAGGCAAGGCACACACACACCTGTGTCACCTAGATGGAATATACTTTGACTTAGCTGTAGGTAAAAACGGTTGCAAGGACTGTGTGTGTTCCGTTATTTGATGTAAGTCAAGTACCTTTCTTATAAATGAAAACATTGAAATAGTTGGAAAGCCTTGCTCAGGTGGTGCCTTCTGATTCTTCTCATGTCCTCCATACACCTGGTGCCTTGTTGTCCTCGCCCTCTGTGTGTTACATGATCATTGCAAATGCACAAACGGTTTATTCAGAGTAAATTATGCTGCTGAATATGTATCTCATACCAAACTTAAATCAACAAAGTTAAATGAAGGGATTATTGACTTGTATTTCTATTGTTGTATTGACTATTTGGGTGTACAAACAGCCTTGTCCTTATTTGTCAATCTTCATGTTCAGCCATTTGTTGTAACAGTGCCTAAGGGATGGGTAGTGCCAGTTTATTGCAGTAGGTCTCTAAAACAGACCTTGATGTTTGCAGAGTGGAATATAAAAGAAATCTATTGAGACAGGGAGTGTCACAGGATTTAGTCATTGTGTTGTCATGTTTGTTATTGTCATCTTACAAATCTTCCAACTATCCTTACTTGAATACCACTTGGGATTTGCAAACCTACCATATTAGGGCAGTAAAGTCCGCCATTCCTGCAGTTGGAATAGAATGTTAATGTTTTTCATTTGTCTGTTTTAATTCTTGGAATGTAAATATTAATTGTAAAAGGTTGCACTTCTGACTTGACACTGTTAGAAAAGTTTGTCACAAATCTAAGGAAGCTAAATTCTTTGCTGTATAAATTTTTTTTAAAAATGTTTTAATGAATGTGTTATGCATATTTAATCGAACAGATGGCATAACCTAGTGCATTTACACAGCCGGTGTCTGTGACACAGCTACGGAAGTGTAGCAGAAATGTCTACCAGCATGACACTGCCTACCCAACTAGGACAAAGAGATTAATCACCTAGGGATCTGGTGAGTTTATAACACTAGACTAGTTGAGGAATCTAAATTCATTCATGGCACTCCAAAACCAATCAAAGGTGGTACCATTGAGATACATGTAAACCATTGGATTCCTGTACAGTACGTCCTATCGGATTATTCTATAGACTAAGCTAAGGGCTGGATTTAATCTGTATTGCTGAAGTTCAGTGTTATAGCATGATTGAAATGTAAAGGCAATGTTCCTGCGTTAGCGGAGACTGCATTCACTGTAAACGCTGCATATGTCGGCTCAGTTGAACATTTAGATTGCGCAATCTGTAACGCTTAAGCGATACAGATTGAATGGAGCACTAACCGTCATCTCCGTGGGAGGTAATGGTTGAGTCATATAGTCTGAGAGGTTGGGATTTTGCACTTTTAATGTAAAGCAAGTGATACAGAACAAACAGGCAGTGTTTGTCTTCCACACCTAGTACTAGGCGACAGAGAGAAATTTGACTGAGAAGCTGGACCTGCTATGCTGAGATTCCTTTAGCTTGCTTACACTTCAGAGTCCCAGAGAAACATTAAAATAGATTTTGTCCTTACCTGGTAGATATGTATGAGCCAATAATGACTTGGACATAAACATCAGAGAAATTCTGACTTCTAAATGAAAATGAACCCTAAAGCAATGGTATGCCAAAAACCAAGACTTTGTGTTGGGAACATCTATTCACTCTCTGTGCATGTGTGTACATTAATTAAACATCCTGTATAACATGACGTCTTTGCCTGTGCTGTTGGCTCGGTCCTGTATGTCACATGGGGCTGTTTTAAGGTCCTGATTAGATATGTTCTGATCTAGTCACTCAGCCTAAGTCAGACAGAAATGGGGCCAAAGATCTAATACTACTGAATACCGAGTTACCTGAAGAGTAACTTTCCAGATAAAGTGAAACAGGAACCGGAATGAAGTCAACTACTGTAATATGAATGACACCAAAGTAAATTAAATGTTAACATTTTATTCATAAAAATAATAATGTACAAAATGGAAGTTTGAAGCTGATTGTGAAGGTTCTGCTCCTGACATCGTGAGGCTATCAGGTGTCCACACCACTGTTCACTGAGAAACACTGGTTTATCCACTTTTGTGCTCCAGCTTTCCAAGATGCCAGCGTTTACTTGCATATGTGGACTTGATAAATTAAACAGCAGCATTCCTTATCTCTCATTTGAATCAACATAGGCCTTGGATAAAGAACGTTTGTTTACAAGCATGTACAAACACAGGCAATCTGTTGTGGCATTACAACATCAATCTGTTGTGGCATTACAACATCAATCTGTTGTGGCATTATAACATCAATCTGTTGTGGCATTATAACATCAATCTGAGCGTAACCATGCAGATGTAGTCTTGTAATTGAGTAAAACAATTTAAAAAGTGATTAAATAATAGAGGAGCTTCTATTAGAATAAATGCTTTAAAAAAACAAAATAAAATCTGTATTTATTTATGTTGGTGCACCATCGCCAAGTAGTGGTAAGCCACTGTCCAGTTTAGACTAATCTTGCATCAACACTGTCAAAGCAAAGAGATTTGTTTTCATTCTGTTGTCTCATATTGGAGTCATAAAACAGAGAGTATACAAATGTCTTTGTGGCAAGTAACAACACATTTCAGTAATTAATAAGCAAATCTCTGAAATGCATTTTCTTTCAAGTAGTCCCTGTTTCTAGAGAGCCTTAGCACACCTCCAAAGTATTGGTGATGTGGGTTAATACCTCCGCCAGGTGTGTCTTGAATACATGCTTGTCACTCTGACAAAATAGTTCCCTATGAGTATTTCACTCTTCGCCCTACCACCTCTTACCCAATGTTCCCTCAAATATTTTTCGGCACTGAGCAAATTTCAGGTCTGCTGAGCGCAAACTTGAACGTTGTGAAAATTCTGTGCAACTTCCAGCGCAAGTTTACTGTGAACACTGAGTCTGTATCCGCTTGAAGTTACAATTTCAGACGGTGGTCAAGTAGGCTACTGTGGCTATTTGATCATAATGTAGGCCTATCAGAGTGGCCTACCATCAAAAACAATGGAGAAAACCTGTTTACCCACTTGTCCTTCAGACAAGGAGGTGACTGAAAATGTTATTGTGTTGTTTGAGGCAAGAAACCACTTTACAAAATAACATGCATTATTATTCCCATTCCATTATTACAGAGAATCAGACAAACTATGCTACCCTCTGCTGCCTATTGGCTACTTAGCTTATTCAAACATGTCTCAAAATACAACACTGCCCCTTTAAGACATAAAAAAGCTCATACCCGACTCACTTTTCAAAGAAATGTACACGTTTTGTGCTCTTGTATGAAGCAATCACTCCCCCATTGCTGACTACAAATTATCTATAACTGGGCTAATAACTCACTAACTAGCAAAGGATATGAACAAATGTGCACATGTGGCTACATGCAGCTCTCGCTTTGATAAAAAAATTGCGCATCTACTCACGACCGCTCATGCTGTAAACACAGTTCAAAATGAATGGTACAGATCCATGTATGGCAATGGACTATTTGCATTTACAAACTGGATGGTTCGAGCCCTGAATACTGATTGGCTGAAAGCTGGGGTATATCAGACCGTTCTAATTACATTGGTAACCAGTTTATAATATCAATACGGCACTTCGGGGGTTTGTGCTATATGGCAAATATACCACGGCTAAGGGCTGTGTCCAGGCACTCCGTGTTGTGTCGTGCAAAAGAACAGCAATTAGCCGTGGTATATTGGCCATATACCACACCCCCTCTGGCCTAATTGCTTAAATAGGCCTACTGCAGCTCTGATTGGTTATGCCGCACCGGTCTGTGTAGAGTACGGTCTGAGTCGTGCGTGTCAATGCAATAGAATCCTACTCCGATGCGTTCTGCCTACAAAAAATGTATTGCAAAGTTACAGTAGTTTTGCATACTAAGTCTTGCATAGTTCATTTTGTTTCGGTATGTTGCATTGAAAGTGGCTAATATTGCGTTGATTTGATCACAAAGGGAAATAAATAGTAAAGGGAAATGTTGATAGTGTTAACTAAAGGGGAAAACTCTAGAAAGTTGAGTGAAGTTCAATCTCGTGCTTCTCTGCGTGGGCTGATATTTCTTTTGCGAGGAAGTCCCGGGGAGCTACGCGCCCGTGCACGCTCGCAGCTTAGAGGGAACATTGCTCTTACCCCTAGCCAGAAACCGCAAAGGAATGGGAAAACAAAGTGTGAGGCGAACTGGAAAAGTATTGGGAAATGTTACAGGAGACAATTATTGATAAAAAAAATTATAATAATAGTGGAAGGGTTGGTTATTCAGTCTGGCAGTAGTAGTTTAGTTGTATAAAATGGAATGTGGCTCACGACAGGGTTGTCTAGCCACAGGGTCATGGATATCAATACAAAGCCTTGCTCCATGGCAGTATAGGGCAGTAATAGCTAGGGCATAAAAATCTGTCTCTCATACAAAGTCTTACAGGAGGACCAGCTTGAACAGGCTTGACCAATGAGGTGAGGCCTTGCTCCATAGGCATCCATGTTGTGGCTTAGTCTTCGGATACAGTGGACATCCTATGCTGCAGAGGACAGGTTAGGGGCAGAAGCACGTATGTGAGCCGGTAAGGTGGCTTGTAGGTGGCCTGGAAACTGGGGCTTTAAGGATTGTTTCTCCAGCCGAGACATAGGTAGAGTGCTGCAGTCACTGCAGGAATTCTCCTTGTTGTACCGTTCATGAAGGGCCAAGGTGCGCTCTCTTCTCTTCATCTTTTGTGCGATGCGAGCGACGCGCTTGGAGACAAGGTAGATGATCTCACAGACATTGAGCACGATGCAAAGGGCCGAGGCACCCACCATGAAATAGGTGAAGACCTTCTTCTCTGTGGGGTGGCCGATGTAGCAGTCCACCTGATTGGGGCAGGGGGTGACCTCACACTTGACCA